ACGTTTCGGAAAGTTTAACTCTTTCCGTCGTCGGAAGCAAAAAAAATACAAAAAATAAAGAAAAAAACTATTTAAAATATTTAAATTCAACTATTCGAGAACACTTTACTTTTTTAAAACAGATACGTCTACAAGAAACCGTTGACGTTCTGTTAAAATGACATTATATCAAGTTAAACTTCAAAATTAACAATTACTACCTGATAACAATTACTTAATAAGGTAAAACCAAATAGCCCCAAACTTTCTGTATGATTATTTTTAAATTTTACGTATGTTATGTTTATTTATGTTATGTTCCCTAAAATCAAAGAAGCGATTGCCATACATTACTAACATCTACAGATGCATGAGCAATACATTTATTTTTATTAGATTGAATTAAAAAAGCCTCTTTTATTTTTCTTTTAGAGGCTATCGCTTCTTTCATTATAATTTTGGCGTTATTAAAATTTATTCTGTGCCCTGTGTCCCATGAATGCAGACAAATCTTAGATTTGTGAAAATCTCCCTTTCTTAAATAATCTTTATGTTCTTTAATTCTAACATTTAAGGGTCTAGATGTTTCACCAATGTAAAATTTATCGCATTTACAAGGTATTTGGCATATTACATTTTTTGTTTGTTGTTCTGTATTCATTGGTTTAGTATGTGATAAAATGTGTATTTTGTGTTTTGAAAGATATTCGTATATTGTTTTCCTATCCTTCTTATTTTTTCCGAAACGCCTCGTATGTATGGAATTGTAAGTTGTATATATTGTGTATTGTTATCATTGAGTCTATGATTTGGGGTTTGTATTTCGTTTAATGTTTTGTCAATAAAATATGGTGGATAGTCGTTTTTTATTAATGTATTTTTTATGTGGTTTATATCTCTGTTTAGTGAAATGTCGTCTGTACATATTATTTTTGCCCTATCATATAGACTTTTTGTAACACCTTTTTTTACACTTATACTGTGATTAGATGTGAAATTTAAGTATCTATCTGTGTTTGTGGGTTTTCTGTAAACATATAAAATTAGTTTATTTTGAAACTTTGACACTAAAACATCAAGAAATGGCAAACGATTACTCAATTTTATAGATGTTAGTCGTATGGTCGAGTAGGGGAAAACCGCTATGAAGTGGACATATTATTAAAAGGAGTTATATTAATTATTAATCGATAATGAAATGATTTAAAAACTACATAGGTTGAAAGCTTCATCAATATGCTTTTAAAATATATTACTAAATTTATTTTGGAAATATTGTAATTGGGAGTAATATCTAAGTTTGAAAAGTTGCTTTTGTCCATTTCAAAACATCGATGTATTGGAATGGACAGTAGTGGTTATGAAAAGAACATTTATGTTAAAAGACATTAATTGCTTCAAAAATAACTTTAATTTAAACAAACTATATCTTAAGAGCAGTTATTACAATAAAAATTTCGAATACCCTGAATACCACATGTTTCATGTGCCCAAGAAGAACATAAGAAACACTTTAACTAGTCTGCTTTGGTACATTGATACGCTTTCTTGCAACAGACACAATTATCTTTATTTATTACGTTATTGTTTTCGTGAGGTTGAGTGTTGGGTTCTCTGTTTTCTCTTGGTATAAATTGGCATAGAGGAACTTTTTTACTTGACTGTTCACTATCATTAAGTTTCTACCGGTGGAAGTAATTCACATCCAAAAATCCTTCTTCCGTCATTCAACCACTTGGATTGGAAATTCCTTTTGCGACACTAGGCCCTTCTTTCAGCATAATTTCCTTAAAATGCACTCTGGGAAATATAAAACGGGAGGAATTGTTCCTCCAAAGGCATTAATAAATCCAAGCATCGTAATTAAATTACCTCTTTCGGCTGAGGTCACTTGCCCAACCTGTTTTGAACCTCTAGTTGCTAAAACTTTTGGAGGATTTGTAACCGTGAGACAGCCGGTTTCGTTCAAATTCCAAATCATATGGGGCTTAAATTTATGTTTTTCCAAAACTCGCTCCAAATTGCTATAAAAATTACTGACATTCGTTGGATTGAATGAAGTCGCTCTAGAGAGAGAAGTGTTTCTGGTTTTCTTAAACTTAATGTTGAATTTCTTTTCATAAAACCAAGTAGCCAGTCTTTTGATGCCATCTCCTTTTCTTTCCAAGTTTCGGTAAAATTCCCTGAGCCTTTGCATACTGGTAGGCAAGTTCCTTGACTTGCATGGTTGTGAGGCCGTAACACATCTTTGATGATGTTTTCAGATAATCAACCAATAATTTTTCCTGTTCGAGGGAGAAAATACGTTTATTACCTATGTTAGGTCGATGCCGATAATCTCCCTCCTGAGTTCTAGCTCTTTTACAAATTGAAGCTAAGTAAGATTTGGAAAAGTTATGGGCTACCGACCGGATAGATTGATTTTTATCAAAAACTTCTCTTACGGCGGTTTCGATTACATCACTGGCTGGTCGTAACCTTTTCTTTCGTGTAGAAATATTGATCTGAAAAATAAACAACTAATTTTAATGAAACGTTTAAAAATTACGTACTATTCCTTAACAAACTTGTCACAAAACCTTGAAAAGGACATATAGTATTGAAACGGACACGTCCATTTCAATACGGCGTCTTGTGTCCATTTCAAGACAACACCCACTTAACCTCTAAATGACAATATAAAGTGTAAATAGAGAAATATTTTATACGATCTAAACCTCCATTTGTGTATTAAAATAACTTAGTTTTAAACTTATTAATCTGAATTTGACAAAATTTCAATAGCTTACCTGTGACATAGTTCGATATTTTCACAAAGAAAATTAGTTTTTTAACACCTAATATTAAAATTCTTGCCGCCGAGACACGATCAGCCAGTTCAGCCCGCAATTTTGGTGGTAATGGAAGCGGCGCGCGGGGTTGCCAAATGTAACCGTAAAAGTTTCGGCTATTCAATCAAATAGGACTTAAGACAAATGTCCGTTTCAACACCCGTCCGTTTCATAGCGGTTTTCCCCTACTGAAGGTTGACTAATAAAATAATTCGAGTAACACAAGTGATAAGAAAGGGTAAAAATGTCACGAAATTTTCCAATATTTTCTCAGTATTTCGCCATCCGTCCCGCAAACTCGATAATCCTAACGCGGTTTGCCTTACATGGAGTTATCTCGTTTCTGGCCAAATCTACTTTGGAAGTTTGTGTAAGTCGGACTCGCGCGGCCATTCCTTCCAGCTAATCGCTTTAGACGTTCCGATAAAACTTTCAGACACCGCAAATTCCATTTAAGCAATTTTCGACGAAAAGCTGAAAACCCCAACGCCATGTGGAAAACACCTTTTTTCCAACGATGTCATATTTTCTTTTCTCTTCAGCGTCTATCGAATTAGTGGTTGTTGAAGTTTCGATCTTGTTACTGTGTGGACAGAGACCAGAATCAAATAATTGGTGATAAATGTCAGAAATAGTTTTTTTATTGCTTTTTACTATAGCAAAATTTAATTTAAATGATGCAGAAGAAGTGAATATGTCTATTAAGAATTGAAATTTTTAACGGTTTCGCAAATATTCGGAGTAATGAATCAAATACGAAGTTTTGGTATAATTAAGTTACTTTGAAAGATCTAGAAACGAATGGCGAAAGATTTTTTTTTTAAATTTACCCCGCAGAAGGGGTAAGTATGGGTTAAATAAATAAATAAAATTATTTTTTCGAAATTTTGGAAACGGTAAGGACTAGAAAAAATTGGCGCCGGAAGGCACGTATAGCCACCCATACTAAAATATGCTAATAAAAAGTTGGTAGGCAGTTCTTATAGTTTCAAAGTAAAGGAATTTTTCCAATTTTGGTCCGTGGTTATTTCCCCTATCCGCCGCCGCCGCCTGGAGTCACGTCCGATGACAGATTGGAGTTCTCCACACGGATTTTATCAAAAACGGACTACGGAAACACGGAATATCCGAAAAACTGCGACTTTGACTGATTTTGATGTTATTACAAATTTTGTTGGAAATATTATTCCTAATCTTAAATTGAAAACCGCGTTTCGCTAGCTACTGTAATCTTGGAGTTACGATTTTTAATTTTTTTTAACCCCCTCCCGTACCCCCTTACCAACCCCCCACCCCCACCAAAAACTAATGGTCAGATTCTCGGGTGCCACACTATTTTTGTGCCAAATTTGGTTAAAATCAGTTTAGCGGTTTTTGAGTTATCGTGTTACAGAAGGACAGATGGTCAGACAGACAGACAACATGAAAATATTTTGTATTTAGGTCATTTATGACCCAAATAACTCATTTTGAGTGAAATTAAAAAAACTTTTTTTTTGTCGATCTTAATAGCCTACCATACCTGTTGGTATGGGCGGCTAAAAAGCAAAATAAAAACACTACCACTCTAAAAAGGTTTAAATAAAAGTTGTAGATGGTCACTTTTTTGATCAAATCAAAATTAACCGAGATAGGGTGGCTAGAAGCTAGGAGACAGCATTCTTTTCAAAAGCCTTACCGTTTCTCTGAAATTTAAAAAAAAACACTTTATACTTTTACCCCTTCTCAGGTTGAATTTAAAAAAATCTTAATTGAAGTGTATAATTTTCAAACAAATTGAATAAAAATGTTAAATATATGCATTTTTCAGCGACTTCTAATTTTTTTTTAAATTTCTACTATCATCCCATAGCTTCTAGCCATCTTATCTCGGTTAATTTTGATCTGAGTAAAAAAGTATAGAGATCTATGTAATATTTGATGCTTGTGATTTTTTTTTCTAGTTCTTACCGTTTCTCCGAAATTTCTAAAAAAAAAATTATTTATTTATTTCACCCCTTCTCTGGGGTGAATTTAAAAAAAAAATCCCAATTCGTTTTTTGATCTCTCAAAGTAACATATGAAGAATTCAAGTTTTTACCAAAACTTCGTATTTAAAGGCCTATTTTCTTAGACTATTAAAAAAAACTTCTAGAATACATTTCTAGAAGTCAACTAGTCATACTGATAGAGGTTTCTTTGTTTTTCCAGATACAAGTTACTCTTATCATCCAGCAATTCACGATGACACTTTTGTTCGAAGGAAGCAAAGAAGAAATAGAACTACTTTTACTCTTCAGCAGGTAAACTTGCTAGTTTTTCATCATTTATTAGGTTATATATGTTTGATTGAACTTTTTAGCTAGAAGAGCTGGAGAGTGCCTTTGCTCAAACCCACTATCCAGATGTCTTCACGCGGGAAGATTTAGCTATGAAGATAAATTTGACAGAAGCTAGAGTTCAGGTATGTTAATATTAAACATAAGCAACAAACAACACACATTTGGTAGGCAGACCCTGATGAGTTTCAAAAATATAAGTTGAAACATTTTCATATGTTTATGAAAATTTCTCTGTACAGGGTGGGTCAAATTCGACGCTTTTAAATGGAAACACTCTTTTCTATAGGAGATAGACAAAAACTAATATCGGTGTCTGGAGCTAAATTTTTTAAAAAACATGATGGTGAAAACCGCATATCGATATCTGTTACCGTTTCAGAATTACAGGGTATTTTTCAAAAATATGCATTTTTAACAAATCGCTGTAACTTTTTTGCTATGGAAAATTTTATATTTTTATGAAACCATTTCCAAAGCACCTTTTTACGTAGAATTTAATGGTTTAAGAATAATTTTTTTAAAATTAATAATTTAAGAATTATCAACAGAAAATTTGATTTTTTATATGGGACACCCTGTATATTTTTAATTTATTGAAAGGAATTTAAAATTACCTTTCCAAAAATATAACACACTTGATATTTTGCACGATTCCTCTTCGAGATATAGAGTATATAGAAATTCGCCCGCTTTAAATAAGTAGGCTTTGAACGGCATCGGCTGTAATGCAAAAAAATTCTAGCTGTGAACATCAATTAAAACGAAAATAATATTTTGCTATGAGATGCAGAAATTTATAACATTTTAAAATATATTTAACCAACATCAACACATTTAAACTATATCTAATAACAATAAAAATAAATAGCAAACCAAGACATGAGATTTTGATACAGGTGTTCGACATATCAACCGTCTTCTGTTATGAACAGACGGGGCAGTTTTTGAACATTTCTCGTGGGATTCATTAGGTCAGTGGGGGTGAAAAATACCCTCTCAGAACTGCTAAGTGTTTGTAATTATTTTCTTGACTATACGGAAGAATAAGGAACCTTTATTGTTCCGCAAATATATCCATAGGATTAGATCCATGGGCACTAAGTCAGGCGGCCTCGACCGCCAATGGGATCTTGGTTAGCTATTCAATTATTCTTGAAATTGGCTGCAAAAATTTGCTGATAACTTCAGCGATCAGAGGTCGTGCATCGTCTTGCTGGAAAAATATGTTTTCGAGTTCCATTAAGGGCATATCATCAATTAGGGGTCCAAAGCCTACTAGTTAAAAGTGGAGAACTTCTAAAAATTCTGTATTTCGAAGGGGATTATAACAAAATATCAAGTGTGCTATATTTTTGGAAAGGTAATTTTAAATTCTTTTCAGTTAATTAAAAATATAGAGGGTGTCTCAAATAAAAAATCAATTTTTCTGTTGATAACTCTTAAATTATTAATTTTAAAAAAATTCTACTTAAACCATTAAATTCTACGTTAAAAGGTGCTTTGGAAATGTTTTCATAGAAATACAAAATTTTCCATAGTAAAAAAGTTACAGCGATTTGTTAAAAATGCACATTTTTGAAAAACACCCGTAACTTCGAAACGGTAACAGATATTGATGAGCGGTTTTCATCATCATGTTTTTGATGAAAATTGAGCTCAGACACCGATATTAGTTTTCGTCTATCTCCAATAGAAAAGGGTGTTTCCATTTAAAAGCGTCGAATTTGACCCACACTGTACAGGGACACTTAAGCAAAAAACTTGGAGAAATTATAGTGATTTTGTATATGTGAAATTTTCTGAATTGCATACAAAACAATTTAATGCGTCATTAACATTGATAAATATTCGTCAATTCGTCAATTACTAATAATTATTATAGTATATAAGTAGGCCTCTCAACTGTGTTTTAATGATATAATCTCATAAAACTAGAAGTCAATCACCGCGACCTTATAGATCTATTGTGTTGCCCTTCCTTGAGTTATCAATTCTCAGGGTTTTGACAAAAGCCAGTACGTGAGACGGTTCTACAAAGGTTAGTTCTCCATCTCCGATATCATTCGTACCAAAGTTTATAACACGAATGGTTGTCGTCTGGGTGCACTCAGTGAGGAGGTGTTTTCTGGTGTTTTCCCAATTTCCTCAGAATCTGCATTCACCGTTGTTTTCTAGCTTCAATATTCTGAGCTGTTCGTTGAAGAGACAGTGTCCTGTTAAAACCCCGTGACAATCCATTTGGAAGTCTAGCTACACTCACCTCTACTAGCAATTAAGGTTATGTCTCCTAATATTTATGAATGAATTATCCATTTGGAGTTCAAAAGAATCCCATACTCTGTTGTTTACTCCATAATAAGAAAACGTCCAAAAACTTTGTTGATATGAAATACTCAATAAGACTTTACTAGTAGTAGTGAGTATAAATTCTTCTAACCTGCAGGAACTTTCAGGTCCTTCAAGAGGACATCTCTGCCTAATATGATATGCATGATGATATCTCGTACCTGTATATTTTATAAAAATAGCAGTTTTAATCGTGACTCACTAAGTTAAGAAAAAAACAACTAATTTTAGTGAGGATGCCAGTCAATAATCACCACATGTGCTAATAAAACTACTTTTCAATTTGTCAAGCTTCCGAGAAATGTATTCCCAGCATCAGGACAGTTTGAATGGGTTAATTCAGAAAACAACATCATTTATAAATCTATTTTATAAGAATATGGACCTGGATATTTTTTCTAAAAGACTTTTATCAAAAATAGGAAGAAGTTCTATTACCATAATCAAATAAGCAAGTTAAGACAAACAATAGATGGAAAGGTATAATGAAATGCTGTAAACAGTAACCAACAAGATACATCTGTCTGTATGAAAACCCTACAAATCTCGTAAATTTCAGGAGAAGTAGTTCCAGCGAGAAAGGTAGACTCCCGGGGCCATCGCTAGGTGTTCTCACCGGGCCTTGTATTAGATTGCAGCGGCAATTAGTGCCGGTTAATGAGCCTCTCTGGACGCAATTACTCTCGTCACGCCTCGCGCCCTTCTCGCCAGCCGTCCACTCGCTTTGTACCCTACGTCAGTTTGTTTTAGTTCTCGCATATCCCTGAGCACCTCTTCTGATATTAAACAATTCGTTTTCCCGTGCTCCCAGAGTGCAGACTGAGAATAGCCTGTAGTATTGGGATTTCTTTGTTGGCGCGAGTGTTTGCTGAAGAGAGCGACAATAGGCGCTACAGTAGATTAAAAATAAAAAGGGTTAATGATCAAAAATGCCTTTATTACAATGTCATGGAAAAGATCGTTAGCTGAATTTTTGGAAGTTTTTTTTTAGAATTTTTGAAACGTCCTTACGCGCGATGGAAATAATAATTAAAGGCCGTGACACACGAGACGCGAGAGGAAAAATGGTAACGATCTTGGAGCGTTGTAACTCGGGCCCTATGTGAGCTAGGGAGCTAAAAGTCGGAATGTAGATGGGGCTCGAAGAGCAAAACAATTGACTGAAAATAAGACTACCCGAAAAGAGAGCCGGAAAAGAAATATCACCGAAGTACAATTGATATGAAATGTCGTTTAATAAAACATTGCTGTAATAGAGGGAATTTAAACACTATCCATTTAATAAAGACTATACCAGACACATAAAAAAATACTAGCTTTTTCCCGCGACTACGTTTTGCGTTACACCTTGAATCGTCCATACATTGATTTAAATGATTACCACTGGATCTTTTCGGGTCCTTCTGTCTGGTAAATTTAATCTACTACCTATGTTGCCGTATTATCAAGAAATTATGGTTTTTAATTAAAAACTAAAAAAAAATCCAAAACTTTTTCAAAAAATTTCAAATTTAAAAAAAAAATTCGCGAAAAAAATCGTGTTACTGGGGTGATAATAGTGTTTCTGGGATCAAAATATACTATCGCTAAAATATTTGCACTTATTTAATACTTGCCCTGTATATCCTTTCAAAAAATTGATTTTGTTATTTTTGACGTATTAATTTTTTTACTTAAAATTTTTAAAGAGCCGTCAATATGCCAATTTCTCTTTAAATATTATTATGTATTTAAAAGTCTAAAAACCGTTTTCTTCCGTTCACTTTGTATACCAAAAATAAAACTTTTAATTAGACCCGTCTGAAATAAATAATCTTAATAATTCTAGAATTTATCGAAATCAAAGTATTTCAAAGAAGTTCAATTTTGGACCCAAAATGATTTTGAAATCTTGCTTTTTAACACTTTTGTTCAAATTTTTCTAATTACTTCCATGGACTGAAACTAATTATATATGGTTGGAGAGAGGGTGGATGGTGCTTTTCCGTGGCGGTTTTTTTATTTCATAATTATTTATAGGGTGTTTTAAAACTCGTACAAAAATCGACATTTTGCAAAATCTGAAAAAAACGAAAATCTGTCGAAAATAATAAATAGTGATATGACTATTTACCCTCTATGGATAGAACCCTACCGAGAGTCCCATATAAACTGTATTACTAAAATAAAAGTTTTCAATTGTCGCTTTTCTTGATATACTCACCTGATTTTTATGTTTTTATTTTTTAAGAGCACTAATACTCTATACGTTATTTTTTACTCCTAGAAGGATGATTTGAAGAATAAATATTTCGTTCATATTATTGATGTCACTAAATAAACCCTTGTGGAAAATGTTATACTTCTAGATGTTATAGTAATGCATTTTTGTACAGCAAACTTTTATTCCCTATTCTACTCTCTTTGGGTATGAATTTCATAAATTCCCTATGTCCAAATAATTAACTCATGACTTTTAAATGATCCTTTGTGCAAATTTTTATGTGTATATTCTAGAGGTCATAAAGATTTATATGAAAAAAAACCTACAGGAAGATACTTATGTACATAAAAGTATCTAGAAGAGTAAAGAAAAAAGTGGTATTGGTTGACGACGGATGATATATCTATTTACACAACCAAATATCAATCTCTCTCTCAATTTCATCTCAATTACAAAAACATTACCCACCTTCAATATCGCATTATATTCAAACAACGAGCAACGACAAAACGAGAAACGCTGCTCGAATCGACAATTCAAGCAAACAATCGTCAAACAAAACGCCTCCTCATTGTGCGAAATCCGTCGATGCCTGCGAATCGAGAATGAATGCAGTAGAGGGTGCGAACGACCAGCAGCGTTAATAGAATAAGCGCGTACCCTCTCGTTCAGACAATGGTAGCGGGGTGTCGCTGCTTGCGCGCTCGTTAGCCGCTCGTTAGAGACAAATGAGAGTCGGGCCCACCCCCTCGCCCTCCTGCTCCTAAATCGGCCGACGGTGCGCTGCATGCTGGGGTGTCCTTAATTAAGCCCTTATTTATACTTGTGCGCGGAATTGCCTTGCTATGATTGTCCGACCGGAAAATTTGTTGTTATTCGATTGGAGCGCGGTGGACGAAATTGGCTGTTAAATGCGATTACGGGGCGTTTGTGTTGATGTTGAGCGGAATGAGACAGGATATATTATAGATATACATAATAAATAAGGTAATAAGTTCAATTTGGAAACTAGAGTTACATAAATATAAGTCATATAACATATAAGTAAAATGAAAACGTAATCAAATAAATCCATGAACAACATGAACATTGAATATTTAATGACATTTTATCTTCAGAAAACTTTTTTTTTACTTTTTATAAAAAAAATCACGTATAATATTTCTTTATACAGTATGTGCCAGGATTGACTTGAAAAATGTATTTTTTACACAGGGTGGCGCCTCTCGTCGGGTGCAAGGAGAACGACAGTTTGTATTGAAATGATTGAATTGATTTTGTGAGCATATGTAGGTTAATTCAGAGCACTTTTTAAAAATATAGAGAGTTCTACAGGGTGTCCCCAAAAAAGTTACATATCAGAGTTGTATTTTTTGTAATGGAACACCCTATATATTAATTGATTTTCGGATTCTGGGAGAAAAATAAGGGCGAGTTTCATTAGAGAAGTATATGGCCAAAGTGTAAGGTTTTTGACATATTTAACATTTTCTAAAAATAAAGAACTTTTTTTTTAGAAAGAATTTTTTAAATTACAATAAAAGGTACCAAAATTGGAATTTACCCGGTATAGCCTAATATGTAGTTAAATTATCTATTGTACTTTACATCAAATTAAAACTTGGTCCAAAAAGTTATACAGGGAGAGGCAAAATTAATATTAAACATTGGTCACATTTAAAAACATGTAACTCTTTTATTTTAAATGGAACACCTAGTATATTATTCCGATATTCAATGAAGAATTCATGTCTCTTCAAAATACTATTGTTGCCTACCCCTCAAACAAAGATTTTTCAAGATATTTTCATTAACATGATTTGACCTTAGTAGATCTTTATTATTTGATAAAATCTAGGTGGCTACGTTACTTCAACATAGCTGTCTAATTAGTCCAACATTAACAACTAGTTATCATTTTGTGTCAGTTAAAACAAAAAAAATTCTCACAAATTTGCCGAAAATGTGAACTTATCCTACATTAGAGAGAATTGATATGATTCTGTTAGTTGGTAAATGCAGTGTGCATTCACCAATTAATAGAATACCTGATTCTCCTGATTTTATCTCGTCTGGTTTTTTTATGGGGATATGTTAAAGACAGTGTTTACAAAACTCGACCAACTACTGTCGACAACATGAGAGAAATAATTATTGTAGCTGTTTTTCGAGGTAGAACTCCATATATGCCTTTTAAAATGAAAAGATCCTTTTGAAAAGACAATCATTTAATGCAGTTAACAGGAAAGGAAGCGTTTTGAGCATTTGATTTCATCTAGCTAAGTTTTGTCACATAAAATTATAGGTTTATATTTAGTTTTGATTCTGTAATAATTAAAATATGTTTTAAACATGTATCTTTTTATTACCGTTGATTATTTTACTCTACAATCTTCAATTTTTGTTAAATTAACAAAAAGTATATGTCACAACCACCTAGATTTTTTCAAATAATAAAGATGTACTGACGCAAAATAATTAAAATTAAAATATCTAGGATAATCTTTGTCTGAGGGGTAGGCAACCTTAACATTATTTTGAAGATATATAAATTCCCCATTGAACACCGGAAAAATATACTAGATGTTCCATTTAAAATAAAGGAGTAACTTGCTTTTAAAAGTGACTAATGTTCCATATTAATTTTGTCTCAATCTGTACAACTTTTCAGGTCAAATTTCAATTTGGTTTAACATACAATAGTTACTGAAATTAAATATCAGACTATACAAGGTCAACTAAAATTTAGGTAGCTTTTAACGAAATTTAAAATATACTCTTCATTTTCACGAAAAGTGAAATATGTCAAAATCCTTAGATTTTAGATATATGCTTCTTGAATAAAACTCACCTTTATTTTTCTCCCAGAATCCGAAAATCAATTTATATATAGGGTGTTCCATTAGAAAAAACACAACTACTTTGATGTGTAACTTTTTTTGGGGACATCCTGTATAATTTTATATATTCAGTTAACGCTTTCAAAATGCTTTCAGTTAACTTACATATGCTGCCAAAATTTCATTTCCAAATAAACTTCCGCGGCGTATGAGATGCGCCACCCTGTATCTTTTTATCGTCTGTTGAGCCTTTAAACTCATAAGAACGCGTTCTACTGACATTGATTTATATATTTTTATTTTCAGAACCACGATATAGAAATAAAAATCTATATTTCAAACAAAAATATTTTGAAGCAACAAATAATGATATATAGAAGGGGCATTAAAAATATGAAAGTACATTATTAAATTAAACGATGCATTTGCTTTTGCCAGACATTTTTTGTGCGAGAAAACCTCGGAGAAAACCTAAAAACAAAGATTTCAAGACAAAAAAATTATAGCCGAGGTCGACATTGTTGA